TATCCGCCCATCGTTTCTGCATAGACCTTTTACTCACTACAAGGAAACAGACACAGCAGGAAGTAGCAACTCTCCTTGTCTCACAGAATCGAGCACTCTCAAGTTCTTGAATTTCTTCTAAAACCATTCTAGGCAATCAAGTCTCTTAAAAAGTATAGATGAGCGTATTTCCAGAATCATTTCAGTGCTTTGCTTGTTCGTAGCCACAGAAATGTTCAAGCAGAGAGCAGTACAGTACAGCAGCAGTACTGAAAGCAAATACATAAGCACTGCCTAAAAAGGGATGCCACTTCCGCTGCTGGAGATTTTTAGGGACAGATTAGACACGTGTCAGGAACGACGCAATAACCCACACAAACTCATACAGTTTGATCCCCAACTTGTGTTTGAAAAAAGTACAACTTACATGTTAAGCCTCTTGTCCAAAGAGTAAATTTGCCTCATTACTTCCTACCTGCTATGATGGGCCACCCTGATCCCTTCCAGATATGGAAAGAAATTGGTATTGAATTTTTCATTTTTGCACAGTTCATATATTCATGCAATAATGAATGTTAAGGACTGTTAGCATCCTTCATGTTCCCAATACCCTGTCAGTAGGATTTTGCCTTTTTCATTTTTTTTTACATAACTTGTATTTTTTGCATTGTTGTTTGGCTTCTAACTGTCCTTTGTAATGGGATTTGAGCCCTCAATTGTTTGACTCTGGAACTCTTATCTATTTGACAAAAAGTCTTCAAGAAGTCTCAGTTGTCATTCATGGGTTTTAAATATTTTTCTGCCATTTTCCTGTAATTTTATTTAATACAAAAATATTAGATTCTTTTAAGCACTGGAGATCCATGGAGACGCAATAATGGCATCTGTTACCTGCCCCAAACAAATGTTACTTAGTTTCATTCATCACTACTAGTTCTAGACAACAACTCGTTTTTAGTCCAGTACTTCTTTTTTTCTCCCTAGTGAATTCCAATAGAAAACTGCCACATGTTGAGTCCAATGCCTTTTCTGTTATAGATCTATTTGCTTTGGGAAATGTAATTTAAATTGTGCTTACTTAAGAGAATAAATCTGCTATAGCACTCCAACTTTTCATTATGCAGCTGTGCATAATAACAGCCCCGTTTCCTTCTCTGGTGTGATTTAGTGATGAGTGAAGATCTGTAACAGAGGTACCACAGAGGCTTTGTCAGCAATTGTTTATGGACACTTAGGATTCTGCAATTCCAAGATATTATACGAGAAGTAATATTTTTAGTTTGTATAGTTTTACTTCTTCACACCTTATTACTCATTTTGTCCTTCCTAAACAGCTTGTAGACAGTGATAGAAACAATCCTGTCACGCATCATGTTTCAGTAATATCAATTCAAACATGCTGGAAAACTTCACACGCTTTTCCTGCCTTTCCTGCTCTTCATTTTCTTGCTGTCTCATGGAGGGGAACTTAAAACCAGTGGTAACAGAAGCATTAACAGTAATGGTGGCTCCAGACCTGGCTTTCTCAGCCTTTATCAGGTCTAAGTTCCTATAGGAGGAGGCAGTGTTTTGGGATAATGAAATGGCATGTTCTCCTGCTGTTCCTGATTCATCCCAAACCTATTAAAATGGCTTGGTGGACAGACATTCCATGGCTAGTAGGAATGCCTGTGCAGATGGTGGCTGTGCAGGAAATGGACTGCTATCAAACACAGAGAAAATTAGTTTTATGTGAACAAAATTAATTTGTGATGAATCTGACAGAGAAGAATTCATTTGTCAAAAGCATCACCATTTGCTTCTGAGGTACTGATATTTTTCATGGAATCATCGTTTTCATTGCTACAAGACAGTGGAAACCTGAATTTATTCATTGTTCCCTTTTCTTGTACCATAGAATGTGCATTAGGTACTTCACCGCGCCTGCAGTAATTCTGTAAAGCACGGAGGGTAACGGTATCCAGCACTGCAACACTTGCACTCTGGCTTGGGTGAGCTAAAACTGCCTTAAGTGACGGTCATGGGAGGTGGAGGCACGAGCTGTAGGTCAGCTCGTGTTCAGTGAGGCACAACTCTTGTACCTTCACAATATGCAAATCTTTGGCTAACTGGAGAAAAAAATGCCTTCTAGGTTATGACAGAAAATTACTGTCTTCAAGATGGATCAGGAGCTGCACAGCAGATTCAAATGAAGCTCAGTTTGGCTGGCTCTGAAAGCTGCTTGCATCATCCTTGGCTTGTGATGAATGAAAATTCAATCTAGATGTTCTCATCTAGTTCTTAAAAAAATAACTTTGAAGTTGTATCAATTGCAAAATTGCTGAAGCTTCAGAACAGAACTGAAAGCCTAAGCAGAGAATGATTTCTCACATCTACAGGCATAAGGAATATGATGGAAACTTTTGTTTCTGTTCCTCAGCTCTAATGGAACAGAGGAAGGACTGTTATTTTGGGTACTTTTAACATACGTAGTATATTCCAGAGAAATCACTGAGACAGAACAGAGCAGAAACTCTTCATGCTTTCTTGCAGAGTAACCATAAAACTGCCATATTGAACTCTGCTGGCATGAATGAGAGTCTGTATGACAGAGCTTTGGAATTGCATGTTTAAAAAAAAATAAATTCTGTAGCACCAGTCTATTATTAGACCATGTAGATTTTTTTTGCCCACTAGGTGACCATCAGTAGCCAGTTTGAGGCTGCTCTATGTAGTGCTTCATTTCTACACAATAGCCACAGGTAAGACACTCTTGAACAAAACATGAGGAGTTTATCCCAAGAATTTTTACACAATTAAGTGTTCTGCAGGTTTACCCAACCCTGAATCAGTGGTAGAGGACTGATGATAACCACACCTAAGCATCATAACTAACTTCTTATCACACTTCTGAGGATTTACTTGATTTCTCAGTGTGCCCTTCTGGATGGACTTTAAATTTTGCACAGCTGCACAAGAAAGGTGCTAAAGGTCCCCTCTGCACTGTTATGCATTTACACTTCCTGTACCTGGCAGTACCTGTGCTGTTTCCTTTTAATAATTAGCACATGCCACACTTCCATCAGAACTAGTGGTATGACACTGTATTTAGTCACAGTGTCAGCCCTTCAGCTTTTACCCATACAGAGGAATACACGATATTTGCAGACAGAAACTACCTTACCTCAGAGGTGGCATGAACAGAACTGATGCTAACAGATAACGCAAAACACCTCAGCTTTTGGAATAGCTCATGACAACCAGAAACACTATTTACCCTTTCCCATCAAACTGACATGCAAAGAGTATTTTTCTATATTGACTAGGCTGTGATTTTCTGTGAGTTTCTGTACGCTCTGCTACTGCTTTTTTTTTTTTTGCAGCAGGTTTTTCTAATAGTTTCTTCAGCCTAAATTATATTACGAAGTTGGAAGTATCATTATTTCCTATGCAGACATTCTACAGACTTACAGAATTCATGACTGTGTATTTCCATTCTCTTATTTACCCTAGAAACCAAACAATTCTGACCCAAGTTCAATGATACCACGATGACAATACACTATTCTGGTTGCTCCAATAGAAATATTGATTCCCACTCTCAAAAACAGAAGAAAAATATTAATACTGAAAAATGAATTAGTGACAGTAAAGATTTTTGCACATAAACAAGTTTTTAGTGCCTCAAAACTGTTTTGGTTCTATTTACCTATTTTTAACAGTATTATGCGAGCTATCTTTCAGAGATAGTGATTTTCAAAAAAAGATATGGAGTAATTAATGCCAATCCTAAATTGTTTTATATTGATACCTTTGAAATACATCAGAATAAGTATTGGTCTCAGATCCAGTCACAGAAGCTATCTGCAGAGATATAATTTTTGATTGATGTTAAGTTTTCAGTGTAGTCATCTTGATAGGATGGAACTGGTTCCAATAGGGCCATGGTGGCAAGTACTTCTTGGTTCCCCTTTGCCTCTCGCAATTCATTTAGATGTAACTTGCCCACATCAAAGTTTGAATAATCATGGGTTTGCCGCTGCTTGGTATCAAACTAATTACACTAACAAAAGGTTAGATATTTCTGCATTTGCTTCAGCGTAGACTTGAAGTGTGAGGTGACGGTTCAGGTGCCCGCTTTATCTTACCACCATTGTAGAGACACATCACCGAGTCTAGGTGCGAAACACGTGACGTGTGCAGAAAAAAACCAGCCCCGAGTTTCACAGCTGATAAGGAACACACGGCAGCTCTGCCCCTGCCAGGTGCAGACTGCTCCTGACCCTGTGACTTCAGCGTGGGCGTAGAGCAGGCTGTGCACCACAGCCCCGCCGTGCGAGCGGCCAAGGGGAGCACTTGAGGCGGAAGGCAAAGGAAGATACACATGCAAAAATCGCCAATTACCACCCTAAAGCCTCCACTTTTGCCATTACAGAGCGTAAAGCCAAAGTTTCACAGAGCTAAAGACACACCTGCACTGGATGCCCCCAGACCTTCCGCGGCCCAAACCTACAAACCCACTGAATTTTGCTTTCCTCCTAAACGCAGGGGGGAACTCAAGCGGAGCCCGGCCCAAGTGCTGCTCCGCCCGGGGATCGCCAGGGCCACCCCCCGCCCCCGGCAGTGACACGGGACGGGCTGCAGCCGCCGGGCAGAGTAACAGTAGATCCGCCCGGGCGCGGGGATCCTCGGAGCGCCCTCAGCCACAGCCCCGTTCCGCTCCCGGGGCCCTCGGAACGAGCGCCCTCAGCCGCAGTCGCGCTCCGCTCCCGGGCCGCCTCCCCGGCAGGTCCGTGCGAGCACCTTCGACACTCCCGCCAACCCCTCGGCAGGCGCTGAGACGATCCAAAATGGCGCCTGGCGGCCGCCTCCCACCCCCCTCCGCGCAGGCGTTCCCTCCCCCGGCGGGCGGTGCTTCCCCCGCCGTGCCGGGCAGGGGGAGCGGCGGGGCGGGAGGAGCCCGAGCCGCGGGGGCTGGAGCGTCCGCGGAGCAGCCCGGCACCTGTCCCGCAGCCAGGTGTGCGCCGCGCCCGCCGCGGGGGCGGTCGCCATGGGAGGCCCCGCGCCGGGCCGAGGGGGCGCCCGGCGAGCGGCGGCTGCTCCCCCTCAGCCGCGCTGAGCCCGGCGCTGCTCCGCGGGGACCGGAGGGCAGCGACATGGACCGCCCGCCGCAGCCGCCGGCCGCCTCCTAGTCCCGCAGCGGCGGCTGCGGGGCGGTCCGGGCATGGCCCAGCGGGAGGATAACGGCGGAGGGCAGCGCTACCCCGGTGAGGCGATCGGGATTCGCCGGGCTCTGCGTGCGCGGGCGGCGGCTCAGCCCGGCCGGGGCCGGGGGTGTCGGTGGCACCTGTTGGTGCGAGGGCAGAGCCCGGGGGGCGAGCGGGGCGGGCGGGGGCAGCCCTGGCTACGAGGGGCTCGGCGGGGCTGGGACTTGGGCGGCTGCCTTGCCCAGCCCTGGCCACCCTAAAAAGTTAAGAGGAGCAGGAATGCTGAGCCTTCGGAGTCTTCACCGAGTGGTTTACAGACCGCAGAGGGAGGTGAGCGCTGCTTCCTCAAGGCTTTGGTCGTGGGGTGTTTTTTTTTTGTTTGTTTCAGTTTCTTTGGGTTGTTTTGTAAGCGAAGGCCGCCAGCTCGGAAACCTTCGCAGTGCGAGTCAGGCTGAACCCGTGAGAAGGAAGAAACTTTAGTCTCGCTGCCTCTCTTCTAGTTGAAGTCTCCCAGGCAATTCACACAGACCAAACAAAACTACAGCTCACAGGAGCAGAAGTTCTCCTGACGCTGATGATAATTTAATGTGGTCTCAGAGTTTTCAGTAATAATGGTGTGGGGAGGAAAAAAACCCTGTAGACTGCTTCAGGAGCGGAGGCTTTAGAAAAACACTGTGGCTTGTTTGTATTGCCGGCCTGACGTAGCAAATCGGTGGAAAAGCAGTGAAGGGTTTACTTATGATCGCTCTCCGAGCACTCCGCTCAGAAGCCAGATTTATAAAGCTCAGGCTTCGCGGAAGAGCATCAGCTGAGAGTTAGATAAAGACCTCCTAAGGAAAAAAAATCTCGGTGTGTTTCTTTTCTTTTTGCCGTTAAAGTTTCGGCAGTGCTTACATTTGTAGCCTTAATCGCTCTATCTCGCACCTTGTTGAAAGTCAGACTTTAGTAGCTTCAGGAGTTCATCCCTCTTAGCAATGCCGTGACTGTTAGAACGTGAACATAAACAATCTGAACCAAGAAATATTTAACAAACAAAACTGGGTTTTATGGCCCTGTGCACCGAGGTCATCTGCAGCTGCATTTGATAGCATTTTGTTGCTTGGTACATGCAACAAAAATATTGTTAAATGCATGGAGAATATAAACCTTTGATTTAAAAAAAAATATTTTTCCTTTAAGAACGAAAAAAAGTTGCAGCTATGTAATTGAAGAAATTCCTTGTTCTTAAAAACTTTTTAAAAAATTTGCTGGCAGAGATAACTGTTGAAGAGAAGGTGTGTGATAAAAATGGCAATGTTAACTCTTTGAGAACTGAGCAGTATATATGAATCATTCCCCTTCCCGTTCCTGTGAGGCAAGAAGATACAAAGCCTGTGTTGCAGATATTTGTCTCACTCTTGTGGGTTGCCTAAATTGCATTGCAGCTCACAGCAAACTTGGAAGAATGGCTCTTGAGTTGGTATCTTTCTGGTTTTGTTTTACTCTAATGATTGGCATTGCTGTTAACTTTCTTTAAATTTTGTATCAACATGGGTTAAAAGCCATTTTATTGTAGATTTTAGAATTATAATCAAATATGACTTGTTCCCTCCGTTTGATTGAGCAATATACAGAGCCAAGATCTGTTTTAAAGCTTCTGGTTATTGTCAGAACATGCCTTCTTGCATGCTGTGATCAGAATTTGGGGAATGTAAGGCTGTATGGACAGCCGCACTGAGACCAGACTGAGATCAAAACTCCGCCTGTCAGGGGGAAGAATTTACCTGGGGGGGGAGGGCCTGCAAGCAGGACTAGTGTATGTTGATGTTTCCATGAAGTTCTGACACTTGCAGTTCAAGGAATTCTTTTCATTTAAGAATCATCAGTGATTTTTTTTCTTCCTGAGCTTACACAGAAACATTTGGGTGTTCTGTGGCTAGGATTTATGCAGTTCAGCTGCCCCTTATGTCATGATGGTCATTTTGAACCTGGCTACAAAACTGTCTTTATCAGGTGCCCCTTAGCACTTATGTTGGAAGTGTTAATGAGCAAATAATCTCTACCTGCCCTCTCATTGGGACGTGTGACCTTGCCTGTATTTCCCTAACTCCCTTTCCCCTGTTATCTCACTTGCGGGATACTCACTCTTACGAGATCATGGTGTTAAGACTTTACAAATATCAATTTTATTTAGATTAATATATATTGAAATAAACCATGGGGATTATGAATGTTGTGCAGACAAAATTGCTTATTATTTCTCAATAGTTTACTAATATTTTAATAATGCTGTGTTTATTCAGATGATAATGCTACAATATTGTTACATTAATAACTTCTTTCCATAAATCATTTATCATTGGAGCACATGACAGAATATTTGACATCAATTGTCAGATTTTGCACTTACCAGTGAGGCAGCTAAAACAGAGAGTATAAATATCACTTCACTATATCCTTAAAAACAATCCTACAACAACCTAAAGCAAAACGAATCAAGGAGTTCTCATGTATGTTCTTGACAGCTGATTGCATCTCAAGTTTTCATTTAAAGCCCTTGATGGGTACACTTCAAAGCTTCCCACAGTTTCGCTGAACTGTGTAAAACCTTGGTAGCTTGATGTTGCATAATTTGCTCCAGCAAGCTGTAGCTGTTGCACACTTCTGCGTTTGCTGGTTGCCTGTTTAAAAGATCTCTTCCCCTTAAAATTATTGCTTGAAAAAATACCAGTCCAAGTTAAAATAGTTTCAGTACCTGGCATGAAAATTTATTTTCACTTCTTTTTGAACTCTCTTGTTTACAGGATTGTTTGGCCTCTTGAGCTGCTGTACTTACTGCCTCTGCCAAGGCTGCTTGAATGCTTACCATTTGTAAGCTTGGTCGACAAGAGCCATGCAATTAAACTAAGGACTGGCTGCTACTTGGGAAAATCATTGAGCAGAAGTGAAGGCAGTCAGGGGAGGAATTCATTATGGGAACATGCTTGTGCTGTTTACCCAAACATCATCAAAGCTGTTCCTGGCTGATTACATTTCTGTCCTTTGTTTTCTGGACTGCATTTTCTAGATGCATTTATATGTGTACACTCTTATAAATAAAGCACCTACATTCTTGGTTATATTGTTCCATAATGTGTGTGTGTGTACATATACTTTAGAGTAACGTTGGGGCTGGGTGGGCCGTGGATTTGAAGAGCAATAAAGTGTGTATGGAGGGGTAAGGTGAGCACAAGGAAGAGAAAACAGTCAGACTTGCATTAGAAGAACAAGTGAATCCAAGCAAGAAGGTCTGAAAGCAGGAGATCCAAGTATATGCAACAGGAATTTAACTTGTGCTCCATTTTATATCTTATGTGTACACTTCAGCTATCACAGTTGATTTCTTGAGTATAGTTTGTTGCCTGTATTCAAGGATTGGTGTTTAGGGTTGTTTGGTTTTTTTGCTGGCCCTTGCAATTTTAATTTAGTGAACAGGGAGTTCATAATGTACCCGGTTGGTGTGCTAGCTATCTCAAGACATCACTTTAAATTGCAGGGGATGTAAACTTTTCAAACCATGGTAATGTGGGGAAAAAAAAAAGTTGCTATAGCAACTCTTTAAGTAAAGTGTACATCTTCACAAGCTTTTTAGTCAAAACAATACATTTGAAACCTTGCTTATGGAGAGGATTAGGCAATTGATGTGTTGATTGATTTGTATGGGTAGCATATAGTTGGCTGCTACAAAGTTCTGGAAAAGTCTAAAAGAGGAAATACCCAGGATTATTTCTTCTTGACTTTTCTCTGTGCTTAGGAGTGGATTGAACTGGAGTGCCGTATCAGCTAGCAAATAGCATTTGGGTAGGAAGTTCAAGATTTAGTATAGCATATGAAGTACAGTTGGATTCATGAACATCCCACGTGACTGAAAACTTGTGGAAAAAGATGTTTTGGTTTGGACCAGTTAAATATGTTTGAAGTGTATTTTCTCTCACCTCCTGCCTATAAGTATCACAATGACAAAGTGTATTGATGAGCTCAGATCCAAGAACGGACTGTGTGTCAAACCCTGATGTTTGGCAGAGCTTAGGTGACATTAACCAGTGGTTTAGAACTGCTGTGAGATACCGATTTTCATAAATTGGGTTTTGTTTTGGGGTATGTGCGTATTTGTTTTTTAAAAGCAGGATGTGGGGAGGACCTCCTAGAGAACAACTGTCACCTTTAGTAGCACCTCTAGTGCTACACTAGAGAGAGAATAGGAGACCAGAAGCAGGAGATGAGGCTTCAGGAACTAGAGAAAAATCTGTCTCGAAAGCAGTCTGTTGGCAAGATGGAAGGAGTGTTCTTCACTCCTTCACACTCAGCCCAGAGTGTTTCAGAGTGAAGAAACTGAAGCAATATGTGCATATTTGTTCTGCCAACTGCTGCAGAGTAATTACATTGCAAACTTCAGCAGAGCTGTAGGTAGTTTAACTATTCATATAGGAAGAGAAGCTGTATGCAATGTCACTCTAATAATCATGCAGTGTTTAAAGGTTTTGTAGCAGTTCTGGAAGCCAGGGCAGCAGTCCTGACGGGGTTCCAGGTTTATGGAAGGCCGCAGTTGCTCAAGGATGGTGCATCCAACCTGTAGCTCCTATTGACAGCCCTCACTTGAGGGTTACTCAGATTTACAGTGGATTCGGATTAACTGACCTACTGGCAGCCCCCAGGGAGACACCGTGAATGGATATTGCACAGATGAAGGACTGCAGTCCCTGACTGCAGTAATTACAATGTACTTGCAAGTGTCAGTGTTACTGTTCATGCACTGATGAAGTGCATCATGTGTATTGTCAAAACATTGACTGTGTGGATAGCTTTGTAGCTGTTCAGATTTTGCATCTCTTGCTTAATGCAAAACTGATACATTATGCATTCTATTTTGGTGACAAATTTATTATCAGTTATTTGATTTCCAGAAGAATGCTAAGAAATTCTGTTTAAATGAACACTTCAGAATTTGGTCTAAGTGTATGTAAACACTAAGTTTTGTAGACCCCTGGAATCAGTGAATATGCATTTATGACTGTATAGAAGTAAATTTCAAATATTTGTCTCAGTATTATAATGGAATATTAAAATACTGCAGGTTTTATAGTATGTCATTTCACTTTCAGGAGATGTGTAAGAAGGAAACACTGTCACACAAACTGCTTATGAAAAGCTTTTCATGCTTGACATTTTCTAGAAGCCTAATTTAAGTTGCCATTGTCCGGTTGTTCAAGCGGGGGGAAGGGATAGTAATCATTTGCAAGAGAAAAACAATTTTTAATTGAAAGCCTAAATTAGGACAGGACTGAGTGCATTAAAAAAAAAAAGAAACAGACAAAAGAAGCAACCAAAAAACCCCACTGAACAAACCCAAACAGTTAAGAACAAACCACAACCTTCCTGCAAATAATCACATTTTCTTTCTTTTTAACCAGGTACTAGTTGGGCCAAGACAACTGATGCAAATTTGTCCAACTCCTTAAATGGTTTGACCTTCATGGGAATTCTGGATGCAAGAGTGGGCAGCGGTATCCAGGGCCTTCCAAACTTGAACTCCGGGACCCCGAGAGATCTCTCATTGCCTCAGTTTGGGCCTGGCCAGCTGTCCAGTGCTTTAGAAGATTGTCATAGCCTTAAATCAGTGGATTCTGGTATTCCAATTCTAGAAATAGGAAATCCAGAACCCGTTCACTGCAGTGTGTTAAATGTGAAGAGAAAGCAGTCAGAACCTGAAATTGTGCCTGACAGGGCGTTTCAGAGCGCGTGCACGCTGCCACCGTATGTGCCTCCACCTTCTCTGGCTGCTGAGCATGACCATGCTGTGCGAAAATCCTCCACTTTCCCAAGGACTGGGTATGACACTGTCAAACTTTATAGTCCAACCTCAAAAACTCTGAATCGAAGTGATGATATCTCTGTTTGTAGTGTGTCTAGTCTTAGCACAGAACTGTCAACGACTTTATCGGTTAGCAATGAAGACATTTTGGACTTTGTGGTCACAAGCAGTTCAAGTGCAATTGTGAATCTTGAGACTGACGAGGCACACTTCTCGGACGTTACCCTGAATTCCACTAAAGAGACCAATGACCAGAGCCAGCAGGAGTGTTGTCCGGAGGCAGACGTGGATAGTAAACGGAAAATATTGGGACCTTTTACGAACTTCTTTGCCAGGTAATGCTTCTGTGAAATATGGTTGTAGTTTAACAGTGAGATTATGTAAGATCATAGGAGAATGGTCTTGTGTGATATTTTACTTTTAAAGATATAATAGCTTGCTATTTTAATTTAGATTGGTATTAACAACATGTTTTTTGTGTTACGAGTAAGTAGGCAGATACTGCTAGGGACTAAGGCTCTGCATCCTATCTTTATGTTTTATGGAAGCATCTTAAATCTTGGAAGATTCCTTCTGCATTACAATAAAAGAAGTTCTGAACAAGGTCTTTTTTCCTCTGGGCAGTGGCTTCTCCAGTAATATCTTTTGTGGTTTTGGCCAAGGTCCTTTATCTGATGGCACATAAATAGATAAATATAGGTAGGATCCATACGTGTATTAAAGAACTTTGGCATCTGAGGATTCGTAAGCGGTTTAGAAGATGGAATATTTTATTGATCATTTTAAGTGTATGAAGCTTAAAATACAAATACTTGCCAAACACTTGAGTGACCACTGTGATCTTTCCAAAACTCAGCTACAGTTTTTTAAATACCTTTTTCCTTCATTTATGTATGGCATGAAATCATCTGACATTGCGTCACTGCTTGTTGAAATGACAGCACTGTCCACTCAAAGCAGTTACATGACTTCTTCTAAATGTGGCCCTTGTGTGAACGATAAGGTGTTCTAAATGCAGATACCCAGGAGAAGTGGCGAATGAGGAAAAGGACTGTCTACTTTTAGGGGGTTTGGTTGTTTGCTGGTAAGTTTGGGGTTTTGTTTTATTTATGTAAGGCCTTCATAATGTCTGTTGTTTTTAGGATATGATGTCTGAAGTATGATATATTTTAGAGAAACTGTCATAGAAATAAACTTTGGGCATCAAGCAGAGTTGGCTGTATCTAACCTGCTTTGCACATGGGATTGCTTCAGCTAATCTCTTTTTCCTCATATTTGTGTTTCTGGGTTTTTTTGCGTGAGACAAATAGGCTAATATGAATAGGCTCATAAAATACATAGAGAATTGGCAAACTGTTCCTTGAAAGGCTGCCTTATTTGCAAAGCTTAAGAGAAGCAGTTTCTTTAGACCTATTAAACTGGCTGAAGCCTTTGTTGATTTTTATTCTTGGGTTGAAGTACTGTGCAGCAGAACTCCAGTCGTCAGTCATGTTTCAGGTGCTGAAGCTTTTGTGGACCCTTGTCTGTTTGTTGCCATGGAACCAGACTTAATTCTGAAGCAGGAGGCTTCTCAGCACTTCAAAGCATGAACTTTTGTTACCCATTCTGGTAGCACAACTGCTAACTCAAACAAATGCTGTCCTTCAGCCTGGAGGGAGCACAGTGGAACAGGCTATTTAGACCTTGCTGAGTGGGATGTTTAACCGCTTCTCAACTTTTCTCATCCAACAAAGTAAAGCCATCAGTCCAAATCCTGCTCTAGGGTAGTCTGTAGTGGTTTTATCAGTGTTACAGGAACTGTGATACTCACTAGACTGAGCTTTTTAACCTGAATCTTTTTGGGTACCTTGAATGCCAGGAAATAAAGGCTGTCATGAGTGCCTTTTAAATGGAGAACAGATAATCTTGGTCACTGGGTGATGTCATCGTGATAATATGAGGATTAAGTTCAGACTAGGTGATCGGCTTTGAAGTTCCAGGTGCTCCATCTGTAACCTGACCTTCAATATCCTTCCCTTTACCATCCACCTTCTGCTCTGTTTTGAAAACAAGAGTTGCTCACTTTTTGTCTGTGCTTGCACACCACACCCCCATATTTTGTGCATCTGTTCTCTTATGCCATGTGACCTGGTGGTGAGGTTCAGAGATATCAAACAAGCAGGGAGCTTCTGTGCCACAGGGACTACTATTTGTATTTATGCTGTCAGTATTGTTGAGGTTCAAAACATACTGTAGCTAGTTTTTGTTGATTTGTATAATCTGCCATCCGTTAGGTTGAAATAGCTTCCTCTAGTGATCCCATGTACTCCCTGTTCCCTGGAGTTCCTGTGGGCCCCTTGGGTTCTGAGGACTTCAGTAAGTACTGAAGTAAATGAACCTGGGTCTTGCACTGTTTTGTTTGAAAGTAACTGCTTTCTAGAGGCCTCCCTACCCAGCTCACCCCTGTGCTGTGCACCAGGGTTTGTGTGCACTGTGACATGAGGAGGAGGCATTTCGAGTAGTATTGTTGAAGACCAGCTTGCTGAGAAGAAGCTTCTTAAAGCAGTTTGTTAGAAGTGCTGCAGTGGTAGGTATAAACCAAGTCTTAGAGAGGAGTGTGTTCTTAGCACTGCACTCTGCCAAAAGGAGTTTCAGCTGAGATTCACACTCTTGCAGGTTAAGTGCATAAATCTTCACTTTGGAGAACCAGGAGTGAACTGTGGCAGGAGAACTTTGGCTTTGGTGAGTGGCTGCCACATGTGTACAGTGTGGAAGAACAAGCACCTGAGTGGTTTGTACACAGCCTTTCTACCTTCCAGGAGCCTGATGGTCATGGGGTAAGGCTGCAGTGCAGGGACTCGGCCTTAATCTGCAGGTTTAGCTCTTGGAGGGCTTCTCTGAGTAATAGGATACAGGTTTGAACCACTGAGAGCAAAGATGAGTCAGCTTAAGTTTTTGCACAAGTTGCTGATATTTGGTAAAAGGGAGAAACCTTTCTTCTTGAAATGGTACCTGTGCTTGTATTGAACCCCATCTGGCGTCTGAGAACGTGTTAGTTTGTTTGAACTTATCCAGAGCAAACTCAGTCTTGATGTGTCAGTTAAGATTTGTGGCTACCTGTAGAGATAATGCTGACAGTAATTAGATGCCTCCAGTGCTTGGTTACGTGTGCCTAAGCTACTTACATAATCAATTAAGGGTAAATCTTCTGTAGTATCAAGAAAATGCTTAGAGAAGTACTTGCTTCGGCATGTAAAATTATTTCTTAACACTCTGTAGATTTGTTTTTCCTTGCATGTGTGCATGTGCACTGTGCAAGGTTGTATGTTACATATCAATTTTGGAATATCTGTGGTGTCTTACGAAGTGTTGGTGTTGGTTTGAGACTGTGTTTGCAAACTGAGTTGTAGAAGAAATCAAAGAAAGGGGAACTCCATTGGCTTGTTGCTTGTCAGTCCTGGCACCTTCAAGATCACTCGGGAACGGGGTGCTCCTGTCCTGCCTTCTTGAGCACTGTGGTGAAGAAAGCTTCCTGGACTGCTCCTCTGGCTCAGTTGCTGTCTCTTCAGCAGTTTGAGGCTTTGAAAGGTCTAGTTCTTTCCTTAGTCTGTTTGATGCATCTGAGTGTGGCAGGAATATCAAAAGTGAGAAAAAGAGGCCACTCTGTTGCTTGCTTGTGCATAGCTTTCCTCTTGGAAGAGCTTAAGGCATCACAGGTACAGTGCTCTCATTAGGCTCCAGGTTAGCACATGAAAATGGATTATTGCTTCTGAAAAGCAGTTGTAACTCTGACTGTTGACAAATCTGACATGTTGGTTGTTTTCAAGTGTCACTTGTATAATCTTTCAAAACCCAGAGGTCTTTCATACAAAGCATCAGTTGGAGTTAATTTCCTTTATTTGAATATATGCAGGAACTTGGCTTGAAAAATAGTGCGAGCAAATAATTGGCTGAGAAACTAAAGAGTCACTGACTTGTCTGCCCCTTTGCCCTGCTGACCCAGAGCAGTGTGGGTTAATGAGTTTTACCTTTGGACTTCGCTTCTGTACAGTACTGCTGAAACTTCTTAAATGCGCGGGTTTTAAACAGCTCTGCTGAATCAGGACCACTGTGGAAGTTATACCTCTCATTTATCATTTTCGTTTATTGTTTTGGAGGCTGAGGATAAGGATTTTTATGGTTACACACAGAGTGATCATAAAAAGGACTAGGACTATGTTCATTTAAATAACAAGCTATGCAGTTCCCTTCGTTTCACTGGATGACAGGAATCCTAAGTCTTTACTTAGTCCACTGCCATGGATATTGTCTATTTTTCCAGGAATCTGGATCATCTTTCTTTTCAGGCTACTCCTAGAATTTTTTTGATCCAAGTGTTCTAAATAGGAGGATCTTAGGAAACCTTTACAGAGAATAGGGACTACACATTTAATAAAGGGCTTTAAAAAGAACATTACCTTTTACTGTTTGCAAAGAATCTCTGTATTTCTGAGAGAAAGCATCTGAAGCAGGATTGGCATCCTATACCATACATAGAAGCACACACCTAGTCCAGGCTGTGACCTTACTTGTAATCTGATAAGGAAAAGGGCTTAAGTTTCAAAATAGTAGCTACTGGTTTCAGCATTAGGTCTTAAATCATGTGAATCTGATATGTTTATATCACATAAACACACACACATGTTTTGAGATCTCTGGTCATGCGTAATTTGGAGTTCTGAACTTGAGAATTGAGTCCATCGATGGCATAGATAAGTCACCTGTGTTAATGAATAGGACCCTTTCATAATGCTGTTTGTTGCTTTTAATGAGAGGACAGCTTATTGTGTACTTCTCTAGTTTTGGTGTTAAAAGGAAGGCAGAATGTCAAGGAGCATTGTATTGTTGATTTCTCACTTTTCATGTCTCCAAAAATGGGAATTCACTGACCACAGAAGGGAAGAAAAAGGATGAAAATAATTGTGATTGAGTAATCTGAGATATTAAATATGATGATGTCTCCTCTTTCATGCACATTTCTGTTACATGAGGCCTCTTAGAGTATTGGCTGTTCAGGAGGAGACAGGCTGAGAACAGGAATGAAGTGTGTAGGAGGAGGGACAGAAAGAGCTGGATGCACTGTGGGGGAGGATATGAGTACACTGCTTCTAACCACAAATGAACAAAAACTAGCTGAGCTGCAGGTGGAGTTGTCCAGAAGCAGGGAGGAAGGGCTCCAGAAACCCAGCCTCTGATGGAGGGAACCCACATGGACACCCAGCACAGGCTGCTTTGCCCTGCGGTGGGGCTGGGCTCCCCAGTGCTGTAGTTGTCCGATCCCCTGGGATTCACTGGCCTGTCAGAGGTAAGAGAGGAA